CCTCATCCACTTCGTCGTCGTCGTCATCATCATAGTCTCTGCTCCTTTTTTATTCACACGCTTTTCTGGTTTTATTGCTCCAATTACTTCATGTTGTACTCGTTGTATATGGCACTCGAGTAGATTTAATATTTTACTTCTGCTTCGCTCTTTGTTTTCCTTCATTCGAGTGAGCGGTATTTTAATTTATCGTCGGTTGTTTGGTTTCTCGCTGATTTTTCGACAGCGGTGCCACACAATCCGAAATATTCAGTGGCACGCCAGTTTCTTTATTTGCATTTTGACACATTTATTCAATTTTAATACATCGGGGTGTACAGGAAAATCTTAACTCAATAAAAGTATATAATTCTTTTCTTAGATTTTTTGCTATTTTCACTTCATTAAAAAGTTGGCAATGCAGTCCGATAATAAATTAAAAGTATAACTTCTAGCTCTTTTCTATACCTTGACGTTGACTTCGACTTATCAGCGATGAATGTCTTGAGATTGTTTGCAATTGTCACTTCATTAAAGGGTTGGCAATGCACTCCGATTATAATAAATATGCTTAATTAACGCACTAACCTGAATTGATTAAAAATTGCACCTTTATAGCACTTATTAAATCATAATTAACTTAAATAGAAGTTCAAATTAGTCATCATAATATTTTTAAGAAGCATGTGAATTCCTTTTATAAAATGTTTCACTTTAAAGTGGTTTTGTAATGTGAAAACTTTTTCATTTTCTAAAACAGCGGCCTATAATACTGTATCTATGATAATCAAATCTGCAGTGCCTATATAAAAGTGTTACTTGTAGACTTTTTGGCTCAGACTCGTCATACGTAAATGCATAAGTAGAACTATAAAAACAACCGAAATGAAGGAAAAGAGTTTATGTCATCAAGTATTGAGAATATGTTTGTCTCTTGTGCAAATATCCTTAAAAAATTGTAAGCATTTGGGTCTCTGTTTGGTGGCTTAAAAAAAGTAGAGCACTTTCTTTTGTGTTATTATTTGGACATTAAAAAATGCTAAACTGATCTAATTGTGATCTTAAATCGACAGTGCTGCGAATATAAAATGTATTCTCTTGTAGATCATCTTTGCATTTCTCTTAAGCGCATGCTCTTTCCAAGAATAAAAAATCCGAGTTAACAATTAAGTTCCCACCGCACAATTCTATGTACTATATTGTACATCATTATAATAACGTCGCAACAACTGTTCCATAGTTGGTTTATGCAAACACTTAACTGCTCATAAAATATACAAAACAGAGTTAGTTGCTGAGTGGCGAGTGCCGAGTGTCGAGCACCGAATACCAACCAGTATTCAATGTTAACTGCACAGATGTCGCGCATAGTATATCGTTGAACGTAACTCAAGAGCTTCGCCCCTGCTTCCTGCCACCATTTAGAGCTGACTGCACAAAAACAAGAACTATGGTGACAATAAAAACAACAGCAACAACAGGCAAAACCAATTCTAACGAGCTTCGTGGAGGTGGCTGCCATGTTTGCCGCTGTTACCTTTCAGGGGAAACTACGGCATGACTGTTATTTTATTCTTTCCACAACTGTTATTCAGTTCAGTCCCTCGCTATAGAGTATATATATGCCTTTCAGCAGAGGGCTATTTCAATTTATAAACAAAAATTGCGAAACTATATATATTTGTTATTCAAACTTTTCAAATAATAAAACAGGCTATAAAAATAGCTTTAAGTAATAATAAGATATATTTTTGTAATTAATGATAACTATAAAAAAATAATATAAATTTTAGATTTCTTAGAGAGAGATTTTTTGCAGATTATATTTAAAATATTCGTACGAACTTTAAGAGGAAGAGCGATAACTCAGGAAAGAATATCTTGAACATATAGAATTACTATGAAACTTTTAAATTTTAATTATTAGTTACATTTTAATTACAAGTTATTTTCAGAAGTAAGCGAAAAGGTTTGGTTTTTTTTTTTTTTTTGGCAATTAAGAAAATACTTCTTTATGCCTTTGCTCAAGAGAGTGTATGTTACATTCGTATAGTCGTACTGACGTCACACACTAGTTGTTGCTTAATACCTACACACTAATGGCAAATGCTGAGTGGATGCAACAAAGCGTGTGTGTGCACCCTAGAGGTTGCTGCGGACTGAAAGTGGGTGGCTTATGTATAAATTCATAAAGCAACACGCGTTGTGGCAGTGCGGCAACATGTTGTAATTGCGTATTTCATAGATACTGCAAGCTGCAAGCCGGTGGTCGCTGGTAGTATCTGTAACTGCCGCGTTGTTGCCTCTGTGCGCCCTTTTGTTTGGTGCGGAAATGGAAATGGCAACCGGTGTGCATCCAACGATCGCGCTACGGAGTACAAAAAACAAATACACTCCATCATCCACATGCATGCATGTATGTATGTACAAGTATGCATGTAGCTCACACATACATATGCACACACTTGTATATGGAAACTGGCATACGCCAGTTGTTGTGCCATTTGAAGTTGTTGGCGTATACGTAATTTTTATATTGCACACAAGAAGATAAAATAAAAAATGAAGAAGAAAAACGTGGCAAGCGTTAAAAAATTCATTCGGCTGCAATATCAAAAATGGCATAGCGTACAAAATTTTTAATTGCTCCAAAGTGATGGGAAAGGGTTAGCGGAGGAGGGCGAAACATACCATGCCAGTAAACTAAATTTTATATTCGTTATGCGAGTCCGGCGCTTTTATGACTTTTAATTCAATCAAAGTAAATGAATTCAAATAAAAATTTCAAAGCACTACATTTCGTTTTTCAGTTGAGAGATGCAATTTGATTTCTGCTTTGACAATTTCGCTTTTGAAATGGATTAGAAAAAAAAAAAACAGAGCGTAACACTCGATACAAATATTGCAAATAAATTAGCACAAATCCAATTATTTAAATAAATACTAAATATGCAAACAAAGAGCGGAAGGAGAAGAAATAAATTAACTAAAAGAGTATACGCTTTGTACACAAGGCAAATACACGCTAATGAAATGAAATGTATGGAAATGTTTGGTTTTTATATTTGCTGGCACTATAATTTATATTATTTAATTAGTTGCTTCTGTGCTTAGTAGCTTATATATGATTTATTGTTAAACAATGTTCGATCAAAAATGTTTCTTTTATAGGTGTTAAAAGAAGTAAAAGAAGTATTGCAATGCTTTTTTTAAAAATACTGTTCGCTTTTTCTTCTGGCTAAGACTACCCAGCAACTTGAGGACCCATTTTGTAGCCTTCTTCTCCTTTTACCGATGCCAAGTGTCCTTGCCCAGTGAACAGAAATACTTTTGCAGAAAAATGTATTGCACCATTCGTGCTTTCTTTGCTTTGTCCTTGTTGGCACATTTAACACACACTTGTGCGCATTTTTATCTTTAGAACGAATTTTTTTTGAAGCAGCAGCCTCAAAACGAAATAAAATTCATAAAAAGGCTGCGCAAAAATGCGCACTTCGCTTTGTCCCTTCCATGTGTGAATAGTATGTGTGTGTTCCTTGGTTGGTGAGTGTGCATGTGTGTGTGTGTGTGCGTGTGCATTATCAGCCATGTGTGAAAATCAGGACATGCGCGTGAGAGGAGAGCCCTTTGTTCGAGCCTGGCGTTTCACACGTTGCCAACTAATGATGATAATGTTTGCGTGTTTTAGCCAACAAGGAAATGCGCAGGTTGTGATTAACTTTTTTCTGTAATCCATGCGAGAGATAATCATTTCTTTATTTGAATAAATATATACATTTCATTCAAAGAAAGCTCATTTAAAGTTTGAAAGACAATAGCCTTATATTGATGAGTCGGCGAATAAATTGAAGGAGAATTAAAAAGGGCTTATTTGTTTTTACTTAGCTAGAACCAACAAATTATTTCGCACTATAATTCGAAATTTAATTTAAGAACCAAATGCATTTGTTTGCTATTGAAAACGATTCCAAAAGAATATCAATAGCCGACGTCATTTAACAAATGAGCTTTTCTTTGAAAATACGGACAATGGAACATTTTTATTTTACAATGCTGGTGGCATTTAAAGCTAATAAGCTCATCCAAAACTGGTATATTATTTATGACTAAATGAGACTTGGCCGACATCAACGAACAACTTAACCACCCACTGTTTAGTTTTTAGCATTTAACAATGCTTTCTTTGCCATTATTGTAATTTTAAAATCACTTTTCGATTATATAGGGCATATTTATAATATTCATATCCACAACAACAGCAACAACGACAATGCGTTTGGTCTGCGTTCGGCTTTTACTAATTTGGTTGTATTTCACATTCGCAAACGGCCTTAGACGGTTCGAAAAATGCTCGAACCCGGAGTGGATTAAAACTATGCAGCTGCAAACAAGATGTTGGGCCTTGCAACAGACGCCCCTCGAACTGCTTTGTAGTGGCACATATAATCGGGATATTTATCTGAAGTACCATGACGATTTAGCCCAGATCGGTTCTCCCTACAAGATCTACGGACGACGTGAGCCCAGTCAAATAATGCACCTGTTGGTCATCTTTCACGAATCACCCTTGATGAACTGTGGCAATAGCGTTCGTATGTCCCAAAAATTGGACTTCTACTGTGCCAAAAACAAGACGGCAGTCGCCCTACCCAAGGGGCAGCTGTACTGCCAACGGTTCAGTGTCAGCTATGTGGACGAACTGCTGCTGCAGTGTCTCAAACCCAAGATGTCGTCGCTATTTCCTGTGACGGGCACAACGGGCATACATTACGCCTTACCGGTACTTCCCAATGCAGCACCTTTGGGGATGGCCTGCAATTGGAATATTGTCGTGCTTTTAGTTTCAATAACCGAGCTGCTGAGCCTTTGAAATTATTCTCCTCATACAATTTTCGAAATTATAGTAAATACTTAAAAAAAAAATCAACCACTCTAGCGAAATGCAATTCTGTGCCATGTTCGCCTTGCTCCATATTGTAAAGCAGCATTGCGGCAACTACGAGACGACAAAGAGATTGGGTTCATACTGGTCCCAGTCCAGTATCGTGGTCATGCCCACTGCGAAGGAGCCAAGGTTGTTGCTGTGTCAACAGTTGTCGATGTGTCTGGCCAGATTCGTGATCCTGCCAAATGCGAAGGAGCCAAGGTTGTTGCTGTGTCAGCAGCTGATCAGAACTCTCTTCAAACGTGGCAGATGAGAGATAAAATTATTTGTTTAATGATAAAAGAATTTCTACGCACAATAAATTTTTTAGAATCGGTATAATGAACAATTTCTCATTTATTATTATCCATTACCGTTTTCATACATTTTATTATTCCTATATATTTCAATGTATTTCATAAGAAAGATGAGCGAAAGTCGTATAAGAATTGCACTGTGGAAGGCATTACAAACCGCATTACCTTCAAACCCACTCCAATGTTCACATATTAAATGCTCAAAAGTATGTCTAACGATGTAAACTCGATTGCGCCAACTGGTTATATTTCTGTGCTAAGTTTTTCCATTATTTTTGCAATTTATTGCATTATTGATTTAAGCAAAACAGCTCGGCTTCCAATCAACAAATAAATGGCACGTCGTCTTCAACTCGAATTGGAATGCTATGGATTTTATGGCCTATATCCTTAGCAACTGTCTCTTTCTTTAATAAAAGCCTGTCTTTCCAGCCACCTCCGAAAATTCTGACCAGAAATGGCTGAGAAATGGGGCATAGCTTGCCGGACTGGCTAATAAATCTTACCCTTAGAGATTCCATTTTTTGTTCTCCTTGTTGCTATGTTTAACTAGCTTTTAAATAATTTCTATGCGTCTCTATATTGAGTTTTTCTTTTTATATTGTTAGATCTATTCCCCCACCGGGGCGGATGTGTTTATTAGATATTACTTTCTCCTAATTACGGTTTGCCAGATTATAAATTTTTTTTTATAATTGAACAATTTCTTAGGCCAGATCTTAAAGAAAGAAAAAAGATTTAAAAAAAAAATAATTTTAATATATTCCTTTCCCATATCGACAGTCAATGTATGTTGAAATAAACATAAATAAATAAAAAAAAAATAAAAAATTAGTAAATGGTATTATCTGCAATTTCTTTCCTACATTCTATAAAGTTGATTTGTCATTGCAGAGATTTTTCAATAAGAAAAACTATTTGAAGACTGTTAAGATCACTTTATAAAAAAAAAATTGGAGGGGCGTTAATAACGTTTCTTCGAATTGACTGAATTGGTTGAAAGATGGAGCTTAATGAAATAAACTCGTATTACTTAGGGACTAAGAGAGAGAGAGACTAACAAGTTTTGATGAAACTTAACTTTTTTGATTTATTTTGTGTTGGTATTTTATTTTGAGTAGTTCTATGTCAATTTTTTACCATTAAATTATTTTAGTAATATATCCGTAAGCATCGTAGAACCAGCGTATATTGGCCAATATTTTGTATAGTAATGCAAATGCCATTGAACTAACAAAAGTTTAGGAATTCCTTTCAACAGTCACAATACCATTTCTCAAATAGAAACCTTAACTTTAACATCTTTTCAGTCGCCGTGTTGTAAAACTTGACCAACAAGAGTCATTACTTAACTATACTTAACAGTATATGCTTAGAGTAGTTCTTTTTACAATTTTTATTTCAAACTCAACACAAGCTGGTCAACACCAACAAGTAGAAGTAAGCTCAATAAAAGAATTAAAATTCCGAAATGTTGCGCTGGAACCGTTCTTGAAACCGCCTCCACATTGGAGTCCATGTAAACGAGAACTGCGGAAATGGAATCCGATGGGCGAACTTGGCTTTTACGTTCACACTTTCGAAACAAATCGTCCACATAGCTAAATGAAAAAGGCAAGCAATGAAAAAAATATGGCCTTTCCAGCTCCATGGCAGCATTTTGGCCGTTGCAATAAAACTGTTCGTTGGAGAACACCAGATTATAGCAACTGAATAGCGGAGTCTCATAGAATACGATAAGTAGCATATGGGTGCCCATGTAATCCTCACGCTTCCAAATGGCATAGGGCGTGTCAATAGCCAGATGGTGATCCTTATACGACAAGCGGAGTTCGCGATCAATTGTGCCGCGACAGTCGTGCTGCAGTATTAAGCCGTCGATAAAGGAGCAGTTTTCGGGCTCGGCTGTGACTTGAACAGGAAAAAGGAATAGCAGCAGCAGCACCAATGATATATTTAACTTGTTATTTGATGTTCGTGCGCCTGTGGGGCGTACTGGCATTGCCTATGAGTTTGTAACAAATGATTGCAAAATCATTTTTGAAAGGTTTGTCACTAACATGTTTTTTTGTTTTTTTGTTTTGTTTTTTTTTTTTAGTTACTGTATAAGAAGGTTAAAGCAAACGTTAAAAGGATGTCTTCAACCTGGCCTCATTACCTATTTATTGATTAGCTTTTGATAAGCCGAATGTTCGAGGTCTGAAAATAGGTCGGGATATTTGAAGTTCATAGCCACATATATAATTATACGTACTGCGGTGTTGTACCTTTGCATGAAGTTCTCTCTCCAGATTGTTCATAAAAATGTAGAAATCTTAAACTGTTCCATATCGATGGATTATGTTAAAAAACTTTATTAAACTCCACAAGAAAAATAAAGGAGAAAAATATTGCAAGATAGCATTGCGCTGATCTTTTCCAATGTTTTCCTTTGGTACTCGCAGAGTTACCTTCTGGTAAAGCGTAATATATAGCCACTGAAATGTCACGTTGTTTCTTGTCGATGATGGCCTGGCAATGCAATAACAGGTGATGTACGTATGAGAACGAATACGTAAAGCAATGGATGTGATCTTGATCGATATATAGCTGAACGCCTTCGGCGTTTATACACAGTATCGAATTTCCGTCGAAGGTTATATTGCCACATTGGGAAATCGCAGATTCGTAAAATGAGATAAGGAGTTCTCGCTTTTGTCCGATTCTTGCCCAAACTTGATACGGAGTATTTTCGCTGACCCATTTATCTCTGTACTTCAGCTTCAGCTCCCTGTTGTAGTTTGCAGAGCAGAGTTTTTCCAAAGAGGGTTCCGTCTTGAGCAAAAAATCACAACTTTTTAACGATGCGCTTATCTCAGTTACTTTCTCAAGATTGATCCAAATAATTAATGTTAGTATGAGAAAATGTAATTTCATATTTTCTCAGTACCATATTTCAATCAAATTTTTGAACGATAAGTCGTTGCTTAAAAAAAAAAAACGGTTCCGAGTTTCCAAAAATAAATAAATCATTTCCTTCGTCGAACAGTACAATGACTAGTATACAGCCACTACTAGATCTATGAATATAACTTTAATTCTAAACATCAAATATAGTCTTTCAATCACGAACCATTGCAAGTAGTGAGGGAATTACACACATTTGAAAAAAGTGTTATAAGAAGACAGTTTCCAAAAGAATAATTTGGAATTTCTAGGCACTATGTGTTCAGGACAACGAAAATGGCTGCTACAACCTGCAGGATTTGTAAATTTAGACGTCTCCTACCATCTATTCCTCTACTTCGGTTGCGAAGTGTTCTTTGGATACAAATATATATGAGATAGATCGCAAGGACATTTAATAATTTGTACATTTTAAATATAGCATTTTTTTACAATCAATAAAATGAATGGCAGAAAGGGACAATTGGCTAGAATAGATATTTGCAGGATGTGAGCACTATTCTTTCCAACTGCAGAGTAATGCAGTACGGGACTTTTAACGGCAGATGTTGTACTATATGGCCTATCGAGGCAATGATCACGCAGATGGGCCACATAGCGCATAGCATGCTTAAAGCAATGCATGTCCGAGGTTTCGAAGTTATCTGTCCTGATTAGCGTTTTTTGGTCTGTGTATCCTTCTATTGTGTAGCTGCCACTATTCAGTGTGACAGTACTGCAGCGGAACAAGGAAGACTCGTGGAAAGACACAAGCACTATATCAGCATCGCTGTTACAAGTCCAAACTGCATATGCGGAGCCATCCGGCGCCCTTTTATCCATCCAGCGGCTGGCAATATCATCGTTAACCTCGCCCTCGCAAATCTTTGTCAGTTGCTTGTTATCTGCGTAGGAACAGTCGCCGGTGCTTTTCAAGGGTGTAACAAATGGAACCGAAAATGCAGTTCTCAATTGTGAAACAAGGATAATAACATTTAACACAATTTTTAAGTTCATTATTTAAAAAAAAAAAACTTGTAATTTTCATTTGACATATCCCAACAAAAAAAGCAGTTGGAATTGTTGTCATTTAAAAAAAGCCTTCCACCTGAAGTTGTTGTTGCAATGGTTGTTTATCATTTAAGAAATTAAAAGAATTACAAGTTTATAAGCTTGATTGCTCTATGAATAATTCTATATTGTAATGGTCTAGCATACGCCGATATATCAATTATATTGTGTCAAACAATGCAGCGAATCAATAATAATGTATCAAACAATGTAACGCTTTAATAGCATTATAAATAAGATGGTTTTGGATAAGACCTGGGTGAATGGGCCACTTAAAAGAAGAAGAAGAAGGAGGAAACGGGTGCCAAACTGTGAAAGAAACTGTGGAGAAAATTTAAATCGCAAAAGAATACAGGAATGGGAGCAGCAGTTAAAATTAGAAAACCACAGCAAGCTTACAATATAATAACAAAATAAAATACACCACAATAAACAGGACTAGTCAGGATATAGGAGGTTTCGCATAACATTTTGATGAAAATCAAAGTTCTTTGGGGACTTTTTAATTCATTTCGTTCTCGGGTGGTTTTGGTTGAAAAATTGTCTTCCTCATATTCATTCTTATAGTTAAACATTAGCTATCTTAGTTAGCTTATTTAGAATATTTATATTTTCTGTTTAAAAAGAACAAATGCATTTAGAATCACATTTATTTGAATAGATATTCCGTACAAATACATTCACTTCTATGCATATTGCCAGTTTAACAAAAAATTTAAAAGAAAGCTGGTAAGTATTATTTGTAGTTGATGTGAAAGCATAGCTGCGGACTTATTTGATCTTTTAGATGGAACTGAGTAATGCAGAATGGGATATTTAATAACGAGGTTCGGCTCATACGGTTTCCTTAGACAGTCATTCATTAGATCTCCAACATAAGCCAAGCCGTGTTTAAAACAATGCATATCGGAATGTTGCAATCGAACTTTTCTTAATCCTTGCATAGTCTCTACCATGAAGTCATACGATGCCGCCCGTATCTGTACTGTATTATACTTGAAGAGGGGTGATTCAACGAAAGATACCAGAATGATGGAATTGTTGCCGTCACCTTTACCCCAAACAGAATATATCGTATTTTCGGGTGCCCTTTTTGAATGCCATTTGTGTACAATATCTTTCTCGACTTTACCGGAACAGATATATCCCAATTTAATGCCGTTGGCATAGGAACAATTGCCGGAATTGCTTCCTACGTACTTAAGTTTTACTATTGACAGGCAACTTAGAAAAATCCAAAATAAAACTAAACATTTCATTTTACAATTTCTGATCTACTCGTATGTACAAAAATTTATTTTGAAATACGCGCTGGCATAAAGTGACGACAAAGTCAAATAAGTTTTGAAACACTTTGCACTGATTTTATTGTTAGTTTAGCAAAAAGTTCAAAATTAATCCGGTAAATATTGTGCGCAATTCATGTGAAAACATAGCAGTTGCCTTGGAAATTTTAACTCGATTCGAGAAATGCAGAATTGGATATTTAATAACGAGGGATGGATCATACGGCTTCTTCAAACATGAGTTCATTAGATCACCAACAAAGGCCAAGCCATGTTTAAAGCAATGCATTTCCGAATTGTGAAAACGAATTTTTTTGAATTCATTGTCTGTCTCTCCCGAGATGTCATACGATATTGCCCGAATCTTTACTGCATTATATTTGAATAAGGGTGATTCATAGAAGGATACCAGAATGATCGAATTATTGCCATCAACTCTACCCCATACAGAATACTTCGTATTTAATGGGGTCTTCAGTGACCCCCATCTGTAGACAATATCTTTGGTGACTTGGCCAGCACAGATATATGTTAAGCGAATACCGTTGGCATATTTGCAATCGCCAGAATTGTCTCCAATCTTCGAGAGCTTTACTTCTGACAGGCAGTTCAGAAACATCCAAAATATAACTAAACATTTCATTTCACAAATTTTGTATACAAAATATAAAAATAAAATTTAAATGACGACAAAGACAAATGTGTTTACAGTTACCCTTTGAGAAATGTCCGTGTTCTTTTTTTGCCAACTTGGTCAGTAGAGGGTTAAGTGCTTACCTGAAAAAAGAAAAGTTTTGATTTATTTGTATGTGTATTATACTTATAGATGAATATATATTCTCTTTTGATAAGCACACAATTCTTTAACAAAACTATTTATATATTGAAAATATTTATTTTTATTATTTTTAAGCTAAAATAATTTAGTTGCTATAAAAAAAACTTTGATAGCAACAAGTTGAATGTTGATGTCATTTATTTAATCCTTGACAAAAGTAAAGGGAACTAAGAAAAATTAACCTCCGTACCACTGAATCCGTAATCTGAATCTTTTGTGTGTTATTATTGAAAATAAAAATGTTGCTTTCATTTAAATATGCCGTTTAGGAAAATAAAGTCTTTCACTCACACTCATGTGCACACAAGTCTCTGTGTTGTAATACATAACTACGAGGAATAATCCCATTTAAATGCATCTTAAATTTTACGTGCCCCGTTCTTATCCTTAGAAGCTAGACTTCACCATATCCATTGCTTTACAAATCATTACCTCCATTTGAAAGAGAGACTGCGAACTGTGGGCAAACTTTTCATTTTCATGTGCATTCATGGCAAGCATTATAAGTATTATACTATACATGAGTAAATGCGCAAATCAATATTCAAGAAATAAACCAACCAACCAACCAGCCGACCACCTGACTGACTACGATGACTGAGAACTGAATTCTCTTGAATTGACAGGGCCACCTAACTCATGCCTATTGCCCATTGAACATTTTCCATTGCTAGGCAAAACTTCTGGCATTCACTTTTGTGCGAAAACTTTTGCAGTCCAAAGACGAAAACTTGTTTCAAATTAATCAAAGTAATTAAAAATTCTTGCAAGGTTTTCCAATGAATTTAATTTTCCGAGCACATACAAAAGCAGGTCCCAACACATCAGCACACACACACCCATATACACATACACAATTGTACACATGCGAGCATTTGAAGCATTTAATCTTTTTCAAATGTAACGTATAC